TGGGAATGGAACCACCATTTACCTCTTCTCGGTCTATACCTAAAGGACTTAAAAACAGCATTCTATAGGGACACGGCCACATCAATGTTTATAGCAGCACAATTCACAATAGCTAAACTGTGAAATCAACCTAGATGCCCTTCAATAGATGAATAGATAAGAAAAAGTGTGGCACATATACACAAAGGAATATTATTCAGTAATAAAAAGAGAATAAAATCATGGCATTTGCAGGTAAATGGATGGAGTTAGATAAGATAATGCTAAGTGAGGTCAGCCAATCCCAAAAAACAAATGCCAAAAGTTTTCTTTGATATAAGGAGGCTGATTCATAGTGGGATCATGGAGGAATAGATGAACTCTAGATAGGGCAGAGGGGTTGGAGGGGAAGGGAGGCGGCATGGGATAATTAATGATGGTGGAATGTGATGATTATTACTATCCAAAATACATGTATGAAGACATGAATTGGTGTGAATATACTATATATACAATCACAGATATGAAAAATTGTGCTCTATATATGTAATAAGAATTGTAATGCACTCTGTTGTCATATATAAATAAAAAAATTACATTTAAAAAATAGCTAGTATAGAGGATTTAGAATGTTCCAGGCATAAAGAAATTACATACATCTGAGGTGATAAATATACTAACTTTTCTCATTTGATAAAATATGTGCAATTATTATGTGTCAATTTTGTAAAAAATTTTAAGTGCAGCACAGTGGAACATGCCTGTAATCCTCGGGAAGCTGAGGCAGGAGAATAGTAATTTTGAAGCAAGCCTCGGCAACTTAGCAATATCTAGTCTCAAAATAAAAAATGAAAAGGGCCAGGGATGTGACTCAGTGGCAGAGCACCACTGGGTGCAACCAATATCAAGAAAAAAAAGTAATTCTAATGTTTTATAGTACAGTAGGRTAACTATAGTTTATAGTTATAATATAGAGTTATAATATTCTAATTTATGTATACAACAATCTAGTATGTTTTATAAAGTCTACAACACTCTAGCATATATGTTTTATAAAACTAGAGGAAAGGGTTAAAAAGGTCCAAATGTTAGAAATAATAAATGTATAAGATGGAAATGCTAACTACCCTAATTTAATCATTACACACTGTATGTACTGGATTATCACATTACACACCACAAATACATGCAAACATAATTACACAATTAGAAGGGTTAAAAATAAAATAATATTAAAATCAAAATCTAATTTGTATTGGATCAGATAATTTCTTAGGGCACTAATTATTTTACTGATAGGAAACTAAAGGCTTTAAATGATATTAACTATTTTTGGGGATGGTTAGGGAGTGACTGCCAAGGTTCATACTCAGTATTAAACTGCGCACATATCTATGTTAATGATAGGAATGCTAAGATACRGAATATGGAAGATTTAACCAAAGTTAAAGAGCAAATCACTGCTGGTCTTTGTGGTTCATGCCTGGCTGAGGCAGGAGGACCAAAAGTTTGAGGCTAGCCTTGGCAACTTAGGAAGACCCTGTCTCAAAATTTAAAAAATTAAAAAAAAAAAGAGCTGGGATATGGCATCTTAATAGTGTACCCCTGGGTCAATTACCCAGTACTAAAAAAAAAAAAAAAAAAAAAAAGAAGAAGAAATCATCCATAGGTAAAAAGATAATCTAGTAAATTAAAAAGTTTAAATTATACGTTTATCTTTCAGATCTTTTGTGTTTGGTTTGGTTTGGTTTGGTGGTGTTGAGGACTGAATTCAGAGACCAGGCAAGCACTCTACCACTGAGCAACATCCCAGCCCTATCTTCCAACTCTTAATATCATGTTGCCTAGTACCTTTGTAAACAACTGAAGGAGAAATATAGAGAAAAGATAATTATAATATAATTTGTAAATTAAGTCCTTGGATATTGATATTATCTTTATATTTGTAAAACAGAAGTCTGACTAACAATAAAAATGTTTTCCCCTTGCTAGGGGCAGAGGCACACGCCTGTAATCCCAGCAGCTCGAGAGGCTGAAGCAGGAGGATCTCAAGTTCAAAGCCAGCTTCAGCAATGGCAAGGTGCTAGGCAACTCAATGAGACCTTGTCTCTAAATAAAATACAAAATAGGGCTGGAGATGTAGCTCAGTGGTTGAGTGGCCCTGAATTCAATCCTCCATACCAAAAAAAAAAAAGAATCCTTAAGCAGATTAAGGGGGAAACCTATAATTCTTTCAGTATAGAACTCTTCAACTGAAATATCCTTTTGGAAATGAACCCACTTACACTTAAAATCTATTAGTTATGTATTACATCTACTGAGCTAAATATAAGAAACCCTACCTGTAACCTATTCACTTTTTGAGCTTCTTTCAAAGAAACAACATGTCCTTTGTTTTCCTGTACCATCATTTGCACTTGATCCTTTAGTTCCTTCACCTCCAGTTCCTTCTGATTAAATACTACTTCATCAGCAGCAAGAGCACACTGGGAAGGAAAGAAGGCACATGTGATATTCACCACAGAAAATACTCAGAAGAACCTATATAATACCACAAAAAAATCATGATTTAATGACAGCTTGACAATGTCTCTTAAATTCATCTTATCCTTTTCATTTTTACTTTTTTCTGGTTTCTAAGAAAGACAGAAACAGTTGAGGGACCTATCATAGTTGTAACATAGGAATTAACTACTATGAAGACAGAAATTTTTATTTCCTGCATATGAAAACTAGTTATCTAGTTTAATTAAATAGTTACCTAGGTTCTAGAGAACATTTTACAAGTTTGCAAGAATCACTGTGAGATTTTAATGTGGGTTTTTAAAAATCAAAGAGTTCTTATTTTCCAAACTGACCTACAGAGTTTAAGAACATATTTGGACATTTAAATAAAGTATATTTGCAGATTTTGTATTCTTTCACTATTAAGAGATATATTTTGAAGCCTGAAAAGATGATTAAGCAGTTTTAGTACTTTGTTTCTGGTGAAACTAGTCTGTTTTAAAGTAAACTTGGATTATGCAAATAATAATTATTGAATAATCTTTAAGTTAAACAGAAAATTATTTGCCAAGGGCCTACACTTCATGCCAGATACTGACTCTCTCTCTCTGTGTATATGCATGTATGTATTATATATATATTTGGGGGGGGGGTACTGGAAATTGAACCCAGGTGCACTTTAGCACTAAGCTACAATCCCAGCCCTTTTTATTTTTATTTTGAGACAGGGCCTTGCTAAATTGCTTAGGGCCTCATTAAGTTGCTGAGGCTGGCCTCAAACTTCCTATCCTCTTATCTCAGCCTCCCAAATTGCTAGGACTACAGAAGTGCACCATCACAGCTGGCTCCCCTGCTTAGTATTTTAAAAATTTCAGTGAGTAAACATGATTCCTTTACATTTAAGAAACTAAGGCTCAGTGAGATTAAATCTCTTTCCAGATGATACAGTGTATCCAAACCCCTGAGATTAAATTCTAGGGACCTATTTCTTCTTTCTTTTTTTTTGGGGGGGACATACAAGAGATTGAACCCAGGGGCACTTAACCAYTGAGCCACATCCCCAGCCCTTTTTTATATTTTTTTTTAATTAGAGACAGGGTATTACTGAGTTGCTTAGGGCCTCGATAAATTGCTGAGACTAACTTTGAACTCATGATCCTCCTGCGTCAGCCTCCTGAGCTGCTGGGATTATAGGCAGGAACCACAGAGCCTGGTGTCCCACCTCCCTTTGTTTTGGTACCAGAGATTAGACTCAGGAGCACTAAACCACTGAGCCACATCCCTAGCCCTATTGTGTATTTTATTTAGAGACAGAGTCTCACTGAGTTGTTTAGTACCTCACTTTTGCTGAGGCTGGMTTTCAACTCGTAATCCTCCTATCTCAGCCTCTCAAGGTGCTGGGATTACAGGCGTGGACCACCACACATGGCTCCTATTTCTTTTTTGAGACACACATACACACACACACACACAAAGATGCACTCATTCGTATTCTAACTTTCCTTCACAGGAATGTTCTTTCTACAAGGCGACAGGTATAGCCAAGAATGAGTAGTTCATTTACAAAAATACTGCTCTCTTTACAAAAAAGATTTAATCAACAAAATGAAGATGTTTGCAGTATGTGTATGACTCATCCAGAGGTGACACAGCAGTGGATGGGATCCTGTACTGGGAACCCTGGTCTAAAGCCAGCCTTGATTTTTATCACAGCTTCATAGCAGGACTCTAGGCAAGTCCCTTCTTTTCTGTTTGGATTCTTCACCAAATTAGGAGGGGAAGTGATGCTGATTATCCTTATAATGCTTTATGGCTGCATAACCTATAGTTACATCTGTAAATTAAGATATAATTCTCATTAGTTAATATCTTCTTTCTGTAGGCAACTAATTGAGAAATTTAAAATATAACTTCTAGTTTGGTATATTTAAGTACAAATTATTTATAACTTAGTTTTATTTGGTTTACTATTTATTTAAAAAGTTTTTATCTCTTCAAAATATGTACCTTCACATACTATTCTTTTTTAAAAAAATATTTATTTTTCAGCTGTAGTTGGACATAATACCTTTGTTTTATTTATTTATTTTTATGTGGTGCTGAGGATCGAACTCAGGGCTTTGCACGTGCTAGATGAGYGCTCAACTACTGAGTCACAACCCTAGCCCATACATACTATTCTTATATCCAAAATTTGGAATAAAAAAATTCCTTACAGAGGTATTTATAAGGAGGTAGAGTATTCCAATAATTGACTAATGGTGAAAAATCAGACTGTAATACTATCTGGCAGCTTCTAAAAAGGAGATGATGATCTCAAAATGATGCTTACTTTCCTCACAATAATCTGGCTAATACTGCATCTGTGAAATGGTCTACGATCTTATGTTAGCCAAGAATTTTTAAAATTAAGCACTTACCTGCTTGCCTAATAGACTCAAGAAGCAGGACTGAGAAGAGAAAATATTCCTGCTTCTTCTCATGCAGAGCATGCCTCACCTTGTTACCTTGGCTAGCAATCTCCTTAAGCAGTCCATCTTACCAAGCTGCCCTCACAATAACCTTTGGGATGTTTCCCTACATATGTCTATAAATCTCATCCCTTAGCTTGCCACTGTTAAACTCCCTAGGCACAAAGACAGGAAAAGTAAATTAGAAGAGATATTTATTGAGCCTTACAAAATGGAACATATTCATAAATATTCCTGCTGCATATTGAAGGGTAACAGCTGTCTATGGGAAAAGCACCTGTGCAGCTGAGTTTTAAGCAGAACTAACAACTTTCTTCATACAGTACTATTTTTCCCATAAACAATGACAAACTAGGGCTAGGGTTGTGGCTCATCAGTAGAGAGCTCACTTAGCACATGTGAGGCCCTGGGTTCGATCCTCAGCACCACATAAAAATAAATAAATAAAATAAAAGTACTGTGTCCAACTACAACTAAACAAAACAAAACAAAACAAAAACAAAAGAATGACTAACTATAACCCCAGGCCAAGGCAGGAGGATTCCAAGTCCCAAGCTAGCCTCAGCAACTTAGTAGGCCTAAGAAACTTAGCAAGACCCTGTCTCAAAATAATAAAAAGGGCTGAGGATGTGTGTGGCTCAGTGGTTAAGTACCCCTGGGTTCAATTCCTAGTATCAAAAAAAGAATGACAATCTAAGGTTATCCAGACTTGAATATGTTGGCAGTCATATTCTTAAAAATATGAACCTCTCATTTTAAGAAATCCATCAATATTTGTTACAAATAAAGCCTGAATTTCAGGGAAAAAAAATCAGAATTTTGGAAAACACTTCTTCCACTAAGAGCTTGACAGCTTCTAATTCTTAACAACTTTGTTAATGAGATCACTGATATATTAAAGACGTGATTTATTTTCCAAATAACCAGTGAATGATGATTCAAAATCGTGTGCATATAAAAGATCCATTCAAAGGATTAGAAAAAAATAAGTAGGTTTTAGTGTATATATATTAATATGACAAAACAGTGCTAAACACACATTGCAAATTAACACCAGAAATTTCTATTTTGCTTTGAATTTTGATGCAGTATCAAATAACTTTCAAAATTACCTAAAAAAGTTATTAAAATACAACCCCCTTCCAACTACAAATCTATATGAGAGTAGATTTTCCTAATAATTTCAGCAAAAAAATGCTAAGACACATATGAAAATCCAACTATCTTCTATTAAGGTAGATGTTAAAAGACATTTGCAAAAATAGAGTACCTGATATTTTTTAAGCTCTCTCTTCAGCTGGAGAACTGTGATATGCTGTGGTCCTCCTTCCAGGTTTCCAATTCCTTGGTTTGCTTGAAATGAAGTGAGGACAGCCTTCCTGACCTCCTGAGTCATGTTAAACCAGTCCTGCAATTTGTGTTGCTGCTTTTGGTTTAGTCTGACTGCATCTTTTAAGTCCATCAGGAAGGTAAAGGCTTCCTCTATACAATTTTGGTAACCCAGGCATTCTCCTTTTAACTGAGTTACTTGCTCCTCAAGAGAATGGATCCTGTTTTTATCAGGACTGCCCTCTCGTGGGATCTGGCTAGTTTGGCTGATACTACTCTGATGGCTTTGCAATGCTTCTCGAAGCAATTTAATCTCAAATTCCATTTCATCTATACGGTCTGATTCAGGGCTAAAGTTTAAAGTGGGTTTGTTTCTAATATTCCGTGCTCTGTTGGCATATTTCAGAGAATTTAAGGACTCATCAAAATCCAAGGAAGATGGACTGACACATGTTATCATGACAGTCTTGGCACTGCCTCCCAGGGAATCTTTCAAAAGCCGAGTAATTTTAGCATCCCTGTATGGAATATGTGAACTCTTCCTACGTGGGTCCCCGAGGGCACTTATTACATTTCCTAAAGCCAGCAACCCACTGTTGATCTGAATGGATTCTTTGAACCGTTCACCAGTATTCCCTGTTTTGGTTACTCTTTCCGATCCAGCCAAATCTACAAAATGGAACTTTGAGATAATATGCCGATGGGAATACCATGATCCATCTTCTGATGCCTCCATAGTTTTCTCAACTTGACAAATGCTGATTGTAAAAATTGCATGTGATCTACTGGAGTGCTCATTCATCTGGGTGGTACCTGTATGTCTGGCTGCATTCCCCATCTCTAGAAGACTCATTACTTCATCCACACTCTCCACGTGGCATTCCTTGGCCCCAACAATCACTTGAAATAGCAACAGCAAGATTTCATCAAAATCCAGTATAATTAAACTAACCACACAACACTTATCATTTGTGAAACAGCTCAGCTAAAATATTTCATTAAAAATAAAAAATTTCAAATAGTAACATCAATAACATCATTAAACAATTTCAGAAAATCTCCCAAAGGACTCATTTTAGCAGACAGCACTCAGTTTAATATTTAAACTGTACAAGATATATTTTTTTTAGGGGCTRGGGTTGTGGCTCAGAGGTAGAGTGCTCGCCTAGCATGCATGAGGCACTGGGTTCGATCCTCAGCACCACATAAAGTAAAATAAAGACATTGTGTCCACCTAAAAGTAAAAAATAAATATTAAAAAAAGATATATTTTTTWAAAAAATCTAGTTTTTTGGATCCAAATATCACACTTAACTATCTTAAATGACAAACTCCTGGGCTGAGGTTATAACTCAGAGGTAGAACAAGTGCTTAGCACATACAAGGCCCTGGGGTCAATCTCCATCATCAAGAACAAAGAAATCCACTAAAATCCACTTAATTTCAATATTTTGATTTTCAAATTAAAAGAAAATAGATTAAATACATAAATTGAAAGAGCTAAATTAATAGTAAATTTATTAAAAGAAATCAGTTTTAGTTTTTTTAATATACAAGCCACCCTTAGCTTTAAGGTTTTTTTGTATTGTGGAATCATAATCAACTATGAAAATTTCAGTAAAAATAAAGTTGGGTATTCATTTTAAAAACAGGCATGCCCTACACAATATGAGTGCAAGGTAAACAGATGAGATGGCAATTCAAAAAAATCAAAGAAGTTTCTATTTCAACAACAGAATAAGAAATAAAAAATAACTTAAGCTTACTACCTGCATTCATTGTTTATATTAAAAATTTTCTGAAAAGGAATAGGTGCATTTGGGATTTGTATAAGAGGAGTCAAGCTCTTGATTCCTTGCTCAAATTATAGTGCCAATGCTTCCTCTTTGATCCGATCTTGTCATGTCATTTTTTTGGAAAAATAATTTCATCTATATCATTTCTATCATGATACATTTTTAACATCCTCATTCATTTTTAAGTTCTAAAGTATATGTACATAAATAAGCAGTATGAAAATGATCAATTATTAATATGGCAATGCAGTTATAAATCAGCAGAACTTTCATAAAATTTTTCCAATGTTGGGCTATATTTTGGCACTACAGTTCTCAAACTGCAATTCCCAGTCTCCATCCTAGATCAATTAAATAAGAAACTCTGAGAAGTAGAACCTAGAAATCAACATTTTTTTAAAAAGCTTCCCACCTGGGGCTGGGGTTGTGGCTCAGTGGTAGAATGCTCGACTAACATGCATGAGGCACTGGGTTCGATCCTGAGCACCACATAAAAATAAAATAAAGGTATTGTGTCTACCTACAACTAAAAAGAATTAAAAAAAAAAAAAAAGCCTCCCAACTGTTCCTAATTGTCCAGTATACAGTACCTCTAAGTTCAATCACTATAAAGTACCTCTGAGTTCAATCCCCAGGACCAAAAAAAAAAAAAAAGAAAGAAAGAAAAAAAAAAAGTACTAAAGAAAAAAAATAAACAAACAGAAAAGTACTATAAAGAAATTTGTCAAACAAATGCATTTTTGGTTGTGAATGGGCCATTAAACAAGATATAGGAATTTGTTTTAAGATTGTTTGTACATCCTTCCAAACCTTTGCAGGACTGATATCAGCTGTGAAATATTTTAATCATTAAATTATTACAAGTAGTATAGCATATACTTCTATGTTGTTTAATGCTTCACAATTAGCATACATGATTTTTGTGATTTTTTTGATAAAAGACAACATTCAATAATTCTGTTCCATATGATAAAGAAGTTCAAAACATCAGTCTGAATTCTATTCAGATGAGAGAAATTATAGTGATTTACCTAATAAGATCATAAACTACCATGTTTACTTTTTTCTGAAAAATAAGACAAAAATCATATTCTTCAGACATCTAAAAACGCCAGGACTGCCAGGACGGGTCTATAAAGAGGCAAGATCTAAAGTCCCCTACAGATTGCTATTTGAATGATAATGCCCATCTTCCTTTCCTAAGCACTAGAAAAATCTCCCCAGGAAGTCACTTTTCTGGGGATTGCAAGGAAGGTTCTGCTAAATGTGTTATCTGTCTAGGAGAGGAGGACAGCCAAGAACAGTTATTACACCCTCCACCCCCACCCAGAGCCATTGAAGAGCAACAGCCATGGCTCTGGGGTACCTCAACAAGAGGCCCATGGTGACCAAGAACATGAATAGGTCGAAGCACAGCCACCATTGGAGGCACCTTACCAAGCATACCAGTTCGTGCAGGACAGGATCTGAAAGGTGTGTGGCTGTGCCCACTATGGGCATCATGCCATGGAGCTATTCAAGATCTCCAAGGGCAATTGGGCCCTCAAGTTCGCCAAGAAAAGGATGGGGACACATCCACCACGTTAAAAAGAAACAAGAGGAGCTAAGCAATGTCCTCCGTGAGGAAAGCAGCTGCCAAGAAGGACTTAGCCCCATTTTCTCAATAAACCTTTACAGGAAAAAAAAAAACAAAAAACCCATTCGTTGCAATGTTATTAATAATAGTTATAACCTGGAAACAGCCTAAATGGCCAACAATGGAACACTACTTAAATAAAATATGATAACACATTCATAAGACAAATTACCACAGGACCACAGAATCATAAGTTTCAAAAATATTTAATGACATGTGAAAATGCATATAAATATTAAATAAAAGTAAAATGCAAAACTATAAGAGGTGGGTCGTGCAAGTATCCAGAAAAATAAATTACACGTATCCAGAAAATTACACGTATCCAGAAAAATAAATCTAGAAGGAAACATACCAAAAGAGAAGCTATAAGCTGGAGGTGTAGCTTTGTGGTAGAGTACTTGTTTAGCATGTGAGGCCCAGGATTGGATCCCCAAAGACAGACAGACACACAGACACACACACATACACACTAAAATAAATTAAAAAAGAGAGAGAGAAGGAGAGAAGAGAGAAAGTTGCTATTTCTAGGTTCTGGGATCAAAGACAATCTTTAGTTTTCTTCCCTATAGTTTTCTGTTTTGAAAATGTACTATAATGAAAATGCTAGCTTTTAAATCAGAAAAACAAAAGTCATTATTTTTTTAACTACTTGTATTTTGAACCGGGCATAGTGGTACACAACTGTATGCCCAGCAACTCAGGGAGCTAAGGCAGGAAAAATCAAGAGTTCAAAGTCAGCCTCGGCAACTTAGTGAGACCCTAAGCAACTTAGTGAGACCCTGTCTCTAAATATTTTTTAAAAGGGCTGGGGATGTAGCTCAGTGGTTAAGTGCCCTTGGGTTCCATCCCCGGTTTAAAAAAAAAAAAAAAAAAAAACCTTGCATTTTGACCCTACCATTGTAATCTTCGATTTCCAAACAATTTTTTATTAATTACTAAAGTTAAAAAGGTTACTAGCACAGACAGGCAGACATTGAAAAGCATAACAAAAGATGGTAAATGTCAATAGTCAATATAAAGAAGTAAAAACATAAAAAATATAAACTCTAAACTTAAAAAAAGAAATAGGTATGCTGGAACAAAAATTTGAAAATTTAAGAGAAAGAAAGGAGAGTTTTGGACCAGCCTGGATGAATACCTAAAGTAAAAGTCATCCCCAATCTCTGAGGAAAATATACAAAAATAATTGTAGCTGATATCACAGTCACACTTGAGTTCAATGCAGAGGAAGGCAATTATAGGAAATCACAACATGAACTAGAAATTAATCAGAAGAACTACTTTTTCACCTGAGTATTTACATAAAATTAATAATCAAAAGATTAATAATCAATAAGCTATTCAACTTAAAAGTAAAAACAAGGGGCTATGAGTATAACTCAGTGATATAACACCTGTGTACTATGGGCAAGATGTTTGGTTTGATCCCCAGCACCCCAAATTTTAGTTAATTAATAAAAAGTTAAAAACAAACTCAGGCTGGACATAGTAGTACACACCTGTTATCCCAGTTACTTAGTAGGCTAAAGCAGGAGGATCCCAAGTTTGAGACTAACTTTAGCAACTTAGTGAGACCTCATCTCAAAATTAAAAACGGTTGGCGATATAGCTTAATGGTAAAGCACATTTTAGTTAAATCTCCAGTGCCAAAACCAAACAAACACACAAATTCATTCTGCTTCTATCATTTGTTTCTTTGGAATATCCAGAAACTGAATAAAGCATATCTATTTGCTAATGAAGGCAATCAATTAAGTAAGGCTACTTCACCTGTGTTTCCTTTTTCATCTTCTCGGATGTGAAGATCTTTCATGGATGTCTCCAATTCCAGAAGATCTCTTAGGTCTTCCTTGTATACTTCTATGTAAGATACTTTTATAACAAAGTTAATGCTAGGATTTTCAGAGATGCTTTGAAATATTTCTTCGATAGCACGAGGAATGATACCCTTTTGACCCTCCACAACTGAAGCTGAAAATTTAGAAAAGAAAGTACATCCGGAACTTGAAATACAAGAAAAGCTACTATCCAAAATTTATACTTAATAAATTTTCCTACATTTCTATTGTGAAATTTTTTAAAACACAAAATGATAAAATTCATAGATCAAAATATTTATATGCATCCCTTTACTCAGAATTTATTCATACATTCATTCAACAAATATTTACTTAGTACCTAATATGTACCATGCACTATTCTAGCACTCTGGACAAAACAGAGGAGAAACAAATTCCTGACCTCTTGTGAGTCTACTAAGGAGAAAGAGCAATAAAAAAATAAATGTGCTGGGTGTGATGGTTCATGCCTGTAATTCCATCAGCTCAGGAGGCTGAGGCAGGAGGACTGCAAGTTCAAGGCCAGCCTCAGCAACTTAGTGAAACCTTARGCAACTCAGCAAGACCCTGTCTCAAGATAAAATAAAAAACTAAAAAGAACTGGRAATGTAGCTCAGGCATATAATGCTCCTGGGTTCAATCTTCAGTGTAAAAAAAATAAAAAGGATACATATTTCTACACCCAAAGATGTTATGTAAGGATAAGTAAGTATCGCTTGTATGAAAAAAAATCAACACAACCTAATGATCTATTAAAAGCATGCCTAGTTAACAATGGTATACCCTGCACCTACTATAATATAGATGTCTAAGATCTATGAATAAAAGAAAAGCAATTGTCTTATCTGGCTAAAAGAACATATACATATCTATACAAAAATACTTAAAATAAAATTGTTTACCTTTGGGAGTTAGAATAAAAAGTGAAAACAAAGGAACATTTTAATTTTTTTATCTTATAGTTGTCATATTTGAATTTTTACCATTTAAGATCATTTAAATACATAAATCTGTTACTTAAAGGGTTCTTGTTGTTTAGATTTTTTTTCCCCCAGTACTGGGGATTGAACCCAGGGGTGCTTTACCACTGAGCTACATCCCCAACCCAGTCCCTCCCCCCACTTTTTAAAATTTTGTGATAGGGTCTTACCAAGTTGCTGAAGCTGGCCTCAAACCTGTGATCCTCCTGCCTCAGACTCCCTAGTAGCTTGGATTACAGGCATGTATCAGGATATGCATCATACCCAGCAACATAAAGCTTTAAATATAGTTATAAAATAAACTAAATATATTGTAGAGAACTGGAAAAAGCATATAACAAGGAAGCTTATAATAACTAAATGACAAGCCAAACCAATAAATTAAACATATTTATATAAGTTTAAGACAAAAACAAAAGATGTGATAAAATATATTATTGAAAGTCCCATGAATGCTTTAGGCCACAAGTGGCATTAGTGAAACTCAAAGCAGGTAGGTACAATAGAAATATCCATTTTGATATAAAAGATTAAATTATGTAAAAATATATTAAAAGTATGTTATATATTCCATAAATATGCCATACTATTTTTTAATATTTATTTTTTCGTTTTCGGTGGACACAACATCTTTATTTTATTTTTATGTGGTGCTGAGGATCGAACCCAGCGCCCCACAAATCCTAGGCGAGCGCGCTACGGCTTGAGCCACATTCCCAGCCTGCCATGCCATTTTTTAAATATTTATTTTCTAGTTGTTGTTGGATACAATACCTTTATTTTATTTATTTTATGTGATGCTGAGGATTGAACCCAGGGCCTCACACATGCCAGACGAATGCTCTACCTCTKAGCCACAACCCCAGCCCCAGCCATGGCATCTTATAAACATGTTATCTTCCTAATTCACTAATTCACTGTTCCTTAAAAACTAGATCCAAGGAAGTGGACCTTGGCTCATTAAAACTCCTTTTATAAAAAGGGCTGTCCTTACCCAAATCTACCCCATCCCTGGGGTATTCACCAGTGTCCCCAATACTAGTGGGAGCCACGGTGATAAAAATGCTGAAGCTTTTAGACAATGTAATTTCTAAAGCAGAAAAAGATGCAGGGAGGACAAAACAATACTGGCAACTGACCCCACACGAGACCAACCTATTTCATAGCTCTTTATACTAAAATCCCTTTCTATTTAGATCATTTATTACAGACTGGGTAGAATCTCAATCACTAGCATTGTTTATATTAGTAAGAATAATTTGTTTTTTAAAAAAGCACTCATATTAATCGTATTTTTTCACTCTTAGAATCTTAGACTTATTTATTCACTTGAGAATCTACTGAGATTTTGGGGTGGGGTAGAAAGGTGAAGGGGACTTGAAAATAGAAAGGTGTAGAAACTGCAGGGAAGCAAAGCAGTCTGAGAGTGACAGGGTATATATGCAGGAGAGATGTAGAAAGGCCAGTTCTGCCCAAGCCTAGAAAAAGAATCCAGGAACAAGGAAGAGAACATATTCACATCATTATTTGAATCCACAACTTACACAACCTGGAACATAGATTAGTACCATAGCATTTGAGTGAACATTTATTTATGTTCCATTTTTAAAAAGGAGTTAAAGCAGCTTTACATATACCTATGACAGACATCTGTATACCAGTGTTTACAGTGGCATTATTCACAAAAGCCAAAAGGAGATTATAAACCAATTGTTCACTGACAGAGAAATGAATAAATAACACTTAGTATATACATACAATGAGATATTATTCAGTCAAAAAGAAATGAGGTTCTGATACATACTACAATATGCTGAGAGAAGTCAGAAGCAGAAAGACAAGCATTATATGATTCTACTTCTATGAAATATCTAGAATAGTCAAATATTTACAGAGATAGAAAGTAAATTGGAATTAGAGGGTAAAGGCTGAGGTATTCATTGCTTAATGGATATAGAGATAAAAATTTTTGGAAAGAGTGGTATTAACACTGAGAATATATATTTGATACCAAATACTTATGCACTTAAAAGTACAATTAAAAGTACTAGTTGTTTGTATTTATGTATATTTTCCTCGATTTTAAAAATAGTAAAAAAAAGTATACAAGATAAAATTTAAAATAAATGGAGGGCTGGGGATGTGGCTCAAACGGTAGCGCACTTGCCTGGCATTCGTGCAGCCTGGGTTGGATGCTCAGCACCACATACAAACAAAGATGTTGTGTCTGCTGAAAACTAAAAAATAAATATTAAAAATTTCTCTCTCTCTCTTAAAAAAAAATTAAAAATAAAATAAATGGTAGTATAAATTGAAACTTAAGGTTAAATACATTTTGTAAACCAGCTTCAGCATTTTCAGCATTGTTTCAGAGAAAATATATTCAAAGCAATAAAAGTCTGCCCTCAAATGAAACTTAAAAAAATAACTTGTTTTCTGAGCTAGATATAGTGGCGCACACACTTTTTTTTTTTAATCTTTATGTGTGTATGTGTGTATGTGTGTGTGTGTGTGTGTGTGTGTGTGTGTGTGTGTGTGTGTGTGGTTCTTTATTTTGTCTTTCTTTTTTGGAACTGGAGATCGAACCTAGGGCTTTGAGAATATGAGGCAAGTGGTTTGCACTGAGCTACATCCCAGCCCAGTGGTACAGACTTGTAATTCCAGCAACTTGGGAGGCTACAGTAGAAGAATAACAAATTTGAGGCTAGCTCAGCAATTTATTGAGGCCCTAAGGAACTTAATGAGACCCTGTCTCAAAAACTAAATAAAATAATAATAATAAAAATAAAGATAAACTTGCTTTCAAGTAGATTACCAAACTAGATTCGGGGCAACACTCATCTCAAAAATCTGAACCTTTGGAGCTGGGGTTGTGATTCAGTGGTAGAGTTCTCGCCTAGCACACATGAGGCACTGGGTTCAAACCTCAGGACCATATAAGAATGAAATAAAGATATTGTGTCCACATACAACTAAAAAATAAGTATAAAAAAAAAAAMCCTGAAACCTTTATTAACTCATTAAATCCCATTGTTTCAGATTTGGGATGCCTATGACAACTCAAATTGAGGAACAAACATACCAATACCATAAATTTTGAAATAAATGTTTTTAGAGTTCTATTCTTTTGAGAAAAATTAATAGGTGAATGACAGATCATTTAAAAATATATACATTTGAAAAATATATAAAGGATATGTAAGCTCTATTTTTTTTTTTTAAAGAGACAGTGAGAGGAGAGAGAGAGAGAGAGAATTTCCAACATTTATTTATTTTTTTAGTTCTCAGCGGACACAACATCTTTGTTGGTATGTGGTGCTGAGGATCGAACCCGGGCCGCACGCATGCCAGGCGAGTGCGCTACYGCTTGAGCCACATCCCCAGCCCAGCTCTGTATTATTATTTCCAAACTATTTTAATGCACCTGTGCCAATTTTGTTGAAATATCTGCAGAATTAAAACCTTGGAACTTATTGGGTAACTATGATGGCTGCCTTTTTCCTAATTCAAGATTTAAAGCTGCCATTGTGTAGCAAGTAAAGGAAGCTATAGGTTTTTACAAAAGGAAGAAAACAAAAATTCTTTTTCAGGGCTGGGGTTGTGGCTCAGCTGTAAGAGCCCAAAAAAAGATATTGTGTCTACCTATAACTAAAAAATAAATTTAAAAAAATTGAAGGTGGGCTGGGGATGTGGCTCAAGCAGTAGCACGCTCACCTGGCATACATGCGGCCTAGGTTCGATCCTCAGCACCACATACAAACAACGATGTTGTGTCCACTGAAAACTAAATAATAAACATTAAAAAATTCTCTCTCTCTCTAAAAAAAAAAAAAAAAATGAAGGATACTGGGCTCTTTAGGCCCCTCGCTATAATCTTTGAAACAAGGACTTCTTCAGAGCCACAAGTTTTTTTTTTAAGTATTTATTTTTTAGTTGTAGTTGGACACAATACCTTTATTTATTTATTTTTATGCAGTGCTAAGGATAGAACTCAGGGCCTCATATATATGCTAGTTGAGCACTCTACCGCTGAGCCACATCCCCAGCCCATGAGACAAATTTCTGAAAGTCACATATTCTACATTTGAGAAGTATGAAAATAAGAAAATTTACTGAGCCACTATATAGAGAGAACACTAAAATTTTAGGCAATAATGCATATGTACAATATTCAAAAGTTTGCTTTATATCACAATGAACCAGGTTTTCSAAGTGCTTTTTTAGTGTCAGAGGTATGGTTCCTTGGAAGCAGATGTGAAGGTGGAGTTTGAGTATGAGATATTTATTAGGGGCCAGAGCCTAAGAAATAAAGGAATAAGAGGCAGGAATGTACAGAAGTCATTCTGGCATGTGATTTCCTAAAAGATGGTTTTGTTTCTTCACAAAATAACTTTTAGAAATGCTTTGAAGACTTTGTTGTGAAAAAAGCTCAGATTCTTAAAATGTCAAGCTCATTCAGCTTTCATAAGTAATGTTCACAAAAAGCTTCTGATTAAAGCTTTTTGACAACCRTGACAAAGATTTTTTTACTTGGCCAACCTTTCTTCAAGTTTCTGAACATTCTCCTAGGCAATCTGTGCACTTTTTTGTAAAAATCAGTTATTATTAAGAACTGTATTAGGGATGGGGATGTGGCTCAAGTGGTAGTGCACTCGCCTAGTATGTGTGAGGCACTGGGTTAGATTCTCAGCACCACATAAAAACAAAATAAAGATATTGTGTCCACCTAAAACCAAAAAATAAATATTAAAAAAAAGAACTGTATTAAGTCAGTTTAGCAAGTATTATGGTTTAGATACAAAGTGTCCACCAAAACTCATGTGTGAGACAAATGCAAGAAAGTTTAGAGGGGAAAAATTAGGTTATGAGAGGTTAATCTCATCAGTGTATTAATCCACTTGAATGGATTAACTGGATGGTAACCCTAGGAAGGTAGGGTGTGGCTGGAGGAGGTAGGTCACTGGGGGCTTGCCTTTGGAGTACATATTTTGTCCCCAATGAGCAGAGGTCTCGGTTTCCTGTGCAATGTCCCAAGTTGCTACTTTCCACCTTATTGTTCTGCCTCACCTCAGGCCCAGGACAACAGAGTTGGCCATCCATGGACTGAGACCTCTGAAGCCATGAGTCACCAATAAACTTTTCTCCTCTACATTATTCTTGTCAGGTCTTTTGATCACAGTGGCAAAAAAAAAAAAAAAAAAAGCTGGACTAAAATAGAAGAATCCTCCACTCTCAATATCTGATATGGTTCCTAATCCTCTACCATCTCCCAGGAGATATCTAATCACACTGGCCTGTCTTGGGCAAGAATCCTATTAGTTGATTTTAGCCAGAATTTCTCTTACTCTTGATGTTACCTCATAGTAATTTTCTATTTTCTATCAGCCCCACCTTGTTCCTTGGTTATAAATTCCCACTTACAGTCAATACTGTATTTGGAATCAAGACAATCTTTTTTCCTCACTGCAAAAATCCCATTGCAGTGGTCTCTACATTCATCACACCAATCCTGAATAAAGACGTTTTTTTTGTTTTCTTTTTAGTACTGAGGATTAAACCCAGGGGGGCTTTACCACTGAGCTCCATTCCCAGCCCTTTTTATTTTTAATTTTGAGACAGGGTCTCACTAAATTGCTTATGATCTCATGAAATTGCTTAGGACTTTGCTAAATTGCTGAGGCTAGTCTTAAACTCTGAATTCTCCTGCCTCAGACCCCAAATCACTAGGATTAGAGGTATACACTACCATGCCCAGCCAAATGAAGACTTTCTTGCCATAAAAGGAAAAAAGCTTATAAACAATCTCAACAGAGGAGTTGGCTTTCAATCCCCATTCCATTACCAATCACGTAACTAAAGAATTCATTTTCTTGGCTAGAGCTCCTCATGTTTCAGTGAAGAGAAATGATTTCCAGGGTCCCACCAAGTCTATAAGAAATCCCATGATTCTACCTCTTCTACACTATTATTACAATTAGAAGAAATTATATTCTAAAATACACTTGAAACTACAAAATAAATTTTTCTGGGCTAGGGTTGTGGCTCAGTGGTCAAGTGCTTACCTAKCATGTGTGAGACTCTGGGTTCCATCCCCAGTACTACCCACATAAACAAATAAAGGTATTATGTCCATCTACAACTAAAAAAATTAATTTAAAAAAAGTTTTTAAAAWTTTTTTTTCTTCCTGCCCCTAACTCCTAGTTGTAGGACTCTTAATATTTCTAAACGGTTTATTAAAGAATACAAAATCTGATCATATCAACTTATTTATCTCTATTTTAAACTTTGTTCAAAATAACAAGGGCTTAGCACTAAACATTGTCTTGAACATCTTTCCTCAAGAAAATACCATCATAAGTTAGATTATTTAATGGACTTTCAATATTTAAAATTTAATCTGTCAAATATAATGATCTTATGATCACATTTGATTATACTATTTATTCTTTCATTATTCAATCAACATGCTAAACATCTACTGTGTGTCAGATTTTGTCATATTTTCACTTTTTTTCTATTTTCTCAAATAAAAGCCAAAGAATATGAATATCTTACCAACATGGCCTCCTCCAATGGTGTATGTCTTCCCAGATCCAGTTTGTCCATAGGCAAAAACCGTTGCATTATACCCCTCAATAAGTGATAATACTAGGGGCTTTATACAAGTATTATAAACTTCATCTTGAGTGGAATTTTTGCCAAAAACAAAATCAAAAGTAAAGACTCTATCTCTCCCAATGATAATTTGCTGGGTATTTGGAATAACTCTCACACAAACTTGATGATTATGAAGAACTTCTTTGCAAAGTAGAGGTCTAATTCTTACAGCAACTTTTACTGGTATTTCTTCCATGGCCGCTTAGATTTTACTAAATAGGTTATTAAAGTTCAATATCTAGTGTGAGAAACATCCATTTTACGTAWGATCTGGACTCCTGTGTATCAAAACAAAAGACAAGTTATTGACTCTGCTTACCGTAATAAAACTACCCACAATTTAAAGTAAAGTCAATTAAAGCAGATTCTTTTTTAGTTGAAAATAGTTACAGATAGTAAATGTGTCTTGGAAAGTACATCATTAATTTACTGATAAAATTATATGATGCCTGAATTTGCTTCAAAATATTCAAGCAGGCAGAGGCCATGAGTTGGTAAATTATGAAACTAACCATTAGGTAAATGGAATTCCACTGTGCCTTTATTTCTATAATGGTAATGTTTCCCTGTTCATTAATCTAAGTATTGAATAGTCAGAGTTAGAAAAGAAAAATAATATGTAAAAATACACATGAGAAAAGCAAACATTTGTATTAGATTTTGTAGCTAGCTATAAAAATAGTATCTCCTCTTTTCCAGAAATATCAGAAATAAATCCATGAAAACAGTTTCAAGAATTCMTTTTTAAGGGCTGGGGCTGTAGCTCAGTGGCAAACTGCTTACCTAGCATGTATGAGGCACTGGGTTCAAATCTCAGTACCATATATAAAGATCCATCAACAAGTAAAACAATTTTTAAAAAATTCTTATTTAAAAATTAAAAATTTTAAACTAGTGTTTTTATTTCAAGCTACTCAGGAGGCTGAGGCTGAAGGATCTCAAGTTCAGGGCCAGCCAGGGCAACTTAGTGAGACCCTGTGTCTCAAAATAAAAATTAGAAAGGGCTGTGGATATAGCTAAGGAATATAGCATCCCTGGGTTCAATCCCCATTATCAAAAAAAAACAAAACAAAACAAAATTGAACTGATGCCAGGAACAGTGGCACATGCCTATAATCTCAGAAACTTAGAAGGCTGAGGGGGATCACAAGTTCAAAACCAGCCTCAGAAACTTAGCAAGGTCCTGAGCAACTTAATGAGACTCTATCTCAAAATAAAAAATAAAAAGGACTRGAGATAGGGCTTAGTGGTTAAGGTTTCCTGGGCTCAATCCCTGCTAAAAAATAAATAAATAAATAAATAATAAACTGGCAACTAAACTTGACAATAAACATCCTGAAAATTAAGAAAACAATTTTATTCATAATTAGCATCAAAAAGAACAAAATACTTAGGAATAAACTTAATAAGAGATATGTAAAATATATACCTGAAAAYTACAAAGTATTGCTAAAAGAATATAAAAGAAGATCTAAACAAATGACAAAAGTCCTACCTTTATGGACTGGAAGGCTTAATAGTGTTAAGATGTCAACATTCCCCATATCAATTTAATCAAAATGCCAGCTGACTTCTTTGAAGAAATTGACAAACTAATCCTGAAATTTATAGAAACTCATCGGACACAGAGTAGCTAAAACAATCTTGAAAAAGTACAATAAAGTAGAACTCATACTTCCTTAATTTCAAAACCAAGCAACAATAATCAAAACAATGTGGTGGGCTGGGGTTGTGGCTCTGTGGTAGAGCACTTGCCAGCACTGGGTGTGAAGGCACTGGGTTCAATCCTCAGCATCACATAAAAATAAATAAATAAAATAAAGGTATAAAAAAACAAAACAATGTGTTACTGGCATAGGACATATAGATCAACACAACTGAACTAAGAATCCAAAAATAAACCCACTGGGGCTGTGACTGGGGCTCAGTGGCAGAGCTCCTGCCTTGTACTTGTGAGACACCGGGTTTGATCCTCAGCACCACATAAAAATAAATAAACAAAATAAAGATATTTTTTAAAACAAATAAATAAATAAATAAACCGGCTTGTTTACAAAAACTGATTTTCAATGGGGTGCTAAGATAATTCAATGGGGGAAAGAACAGTTTTTTTCAACAAATAATGAATATCCTCTGTATAAGAATGAAGTTGGAATTCATTCATATATACATATTGAATTTATTTATATATATATATGAAATACCAAAAATGAATCACAGACTTTTAGGTTTTTATTTAAGAGCTGCAACTATAATTTTTTTTTTCTTTTTTTGCTGCAGATTAAACCCAGGCCTTTGTGCATGTGAGGCAAGCACTCTACTGAATGAGCTATATCCCCAGACCTAAAATTTTTTAAAGTAAACACGGAGTAACTCTTCGAGACCTGGGATTTGGCAATGATTTCTCAGATATAGCACCAAAAAGCAAAAGCAATTTAAAAAAACATATACAAACTTTAAATGAAAAAATACTTAAAAACTATGTGCCTCAAAGGACTCCATCAAGAAAGAGAAAAGACACTGGGCATAGAGGCACAGACCTGTAATTCCAGCTACTCAGGAGACTGAGGTAGGAGGATCACAAATTCAAGGTCACCCCTCAGCAACTTATTGAGACTGTGTCTCAATCTAAAAAGGGCTGGAGGTATAGCTCAGTGGTAGAGCATTCCTGGGTTCCATCCCTAGTAATAGGAGGAAGAAGGAAGGAAAAAAAAAAGAAGGAAAGGAGGCAGCTGGCGGCTCAGTGAAAGGAAGAAAACATTTGCAAGTCATAATCTAATATGAGACCTTCCATCTAGACTATATAAAGAATTATTACAGCTGGTCGCAGTGGCACATGCCTGTAATTCCAGCAGCTCAGGAGGCTGAGGCAGGAGGATCACGAGTTCAAAGCAAAAGTGAGGTGCTTCACAACTCAATGAGACCCTGTTTATAAATAAAATACAAAATAGGGCCTGGGATGTGGCTCAATGGTCCAGTGCCCCAGAGTTMAATCCCCAGTACCCCTCCCCCCTAAAAAGAATTATTACACAGTGAAGCTCCACAATATGTACAACCACAAGACTGAGATCCTAATTACAAAAARATATACTCTATGTTTGTATACAAATGTCAAAATATACTGTACTGTCTCATATATAACTAAAAAGAACAAATAAAATAAAAATAAGTAAATAAATAAGTGAATAAGAACTATTACAACTCAAAGACTTTAAAAAGCCATTTTAAAATGGGCAAAGGATCTGAAAAGGCAGTTCATCAAAGACATACAAATGTCCAAAAGCACATAAGAAGATGCTCAATATCATTAGCTATCAGAGAAATGCAGTTAAAATCATGAGATACAACTCCACACCCACTAGCAAGACTATTAACAAAGAGATAGTTTATAATAAGCATTGGTGGGGCTGGGGATGTGGCTCAAGCGGTAGCGCCCTCGCCTGGCATGCGTGCAGCCCGGGTTCGATCCTCAGCACCACATACCAACAAAGATGTTGTGTCCGCCAAGAACTAAAAAATAAATATTAAAAATTCTCTCTCTCTCTCTCCTCTCTCACTCTCTCTTTAAAAAAAAAAAAAATAAGCATTGGTGAGGGTGTAGAGAAATTGGAACATAATTCACTCCTGGTGGGAATGTAACATGGTACAGCTGTTTTGGAAAACAGACTAACAGACTAGCAGTTCCTCAAAAAGTTAAACACAGGCTCGGCAATTCTATTGCCACATTTGCATAAAAACTTGTACATCCATTTTCACAATCTTGATAGAATAAAGTATATACTATATACAAACTCTAAAAAATGTAACAAGTATCTATGACAGTGTTTGAGTACAGATAATGAAAAGTAATCATTTGGGTATCAGGCTAGATTCTTTGCAAAAGCTGTATTTTGAACACTATCATTATACTAGCAGGCTTCTGGACACAAAATAACATTTTACACACTGCTGCTATGAAGATGTTAATGACAACATATTTAATATTCACTAGCCTATTTAAAAATTCTGCAGCAGTACCATGCATTTATAATTCTAAGTAGACAATTTGAAAAGGATCACAACAAAAACCATTTACATCATGCTACTAGGATCCCATTGAGAGTATGACAATACTAGGTCCCTTGGGCTGTAAATCCYAAAACAGAGCCAACAAGTTATCCTTTACAGCCAAAATAAAGAGATGGCAATCTTGCCAGTTTTAATCATTCTAAAGAAATTCTGCAGCAGAAAATAATACTCCTGTGTATGGTAAATTCCTTCTTGGATCCTAAAGGACTCCAAAAATCATTTGGTATTGGAAATTTTTCCAGACTTTAGGGATGCTGAGTTGATTCTTTCAAATGTCTGTGAACACCTACAACTGAAGTCTGTATCATACATATCATTTTAATTTTTATGCCATCACATTAAAACAAAAATTATGGTCTTTGGTAAGCCAAACCTAACTGCTTTCAATGAAATTAATAATAAAAAAATCAAATGTAACTAGGATATTTTCACTTTTTTGCTATTATGATGGGAATATCTATAAAAAAAATTTGGCCACCTAGGCAATTGAAATTCACCTAATCATTAAAAAATAATAATAGTTCATAAATATAAGGCTTGTAAACTGTCAAGAAATCAAGATTTAAACCAGTAGTATGTCTTCAGATTCTGATTACAGTCATCAGATACATATCTATTATTGGTTATAGATGTAAAAAAAGAAAGCAATCTGACAAGCTAGTAATATTTAGGGTCAACAGGTATTTTATGTGTGAACAAAAGCAAGAGCAGTATTTATTTGACCCCCCATGTCACTGATGAGGGTGTCTCCAACTACCAGTGCCATCTTAATGCTCTTGGTTTCTCAGAAAGTAATGGCTGTCTAAAAATTGTGGTTTGTTAATTTTAATATTTTCGTAAGAAACCTCCCAGCAGATGGATAGTGAATCGTATAAGGATCTCATAAAAGGCCTCAAATGCACAAAGAAGTAAAAAGGGGCAAGATTTTTTTAAAATTAGAGAAGGCGGTGTTATTTAAGAAGTGTTTCAAAGAAAGAATCTGGGTACCCTCTTTTTTCCATTATCACCTGCTACTGAGGGATGCTTTTGGGTTTCCACAGTGCTTGAATGCCYCAGTTTCAATCTCTTAAGACGGGAAAAAAAAAAAAAAAGAGTTCTGCGACAAAACAAAGTTTCAATCTCTACGATGGGAAAAGGAGGCCTGCGACAAAAGGACGAAGGGTCTTCCCGACCCTCCTCACATCCCGCAGTGAGACATATAAATCCAAGACGTACTCTGGCYCCATTCCGCCGGCCCTTCCACCTCTGGGGCACCCAACTACCCTCCGGAAGCGCCGCTCTATCTCCGGCTGCTCACCGGGCTCCAGTAAGGACTCCGGTCGTTTCCGGCACACCAACCGCCCCCTGCCAGCGGCGGCCCMGACTCCCGGCCAGCAGCCCCTCTTCCCAACGGTGGGCCCCGCCCCGCGGGCAGGAGGAGGGGACGCAGAGACGCCGAGAGCTGGGTGGCGCCCCGCCCGGCCCGGCCCGGCCCACAGTACACTGACCGGCTCGGGAAAACCCGGGTCTCCGGCGGCGAGCGCAGGACTCCTCGGCTCAGCTCGCCGGGTCGCCGCCGCCTGCGCCTTTGTTGTCACGGGTTCTCACGGCAACAGGCGCGGACCGCCGCCGGATCGCCTCCTCGAGGCCACTGCGCCCCGCCCCGGACCCCGCCCCAAGCCCCGCCCCCCGTGGCGTAACGCCGGACCCCTACATCCCCCAAGGGGCCCGCCTCTAGGGGGTCGCTGCAAACCTCAGCTGAATCCCGCTAAGGCGATGGACGTGCTTGTTTAAGTGGTGAGTGTGAATTGCTCCGCAGGGACCTGTAAAATGAATGCGCGTACTAATTTTTTTAAGGTAAAATTTTCAAAACATAAACCATTTTAAAGTTTATAGTTCCTTGGTGATTACTGTTTAGGGCGAAAGGAATACTCTCCTTCGCCTTCTGAAGGTTCGATGGAATGAACTGGCAGAAGAAAAACCGCATACAACTATTAACACGCAGAGGGGAAGAAATCACATATCGTGGGGGAAATCATAGTAGTGTGATTACCCCCTAGCCCAACGTGATTCAGAAACGTAATGGGTTGGCGAACTTGTTGAGCACCAACTGCAAGAGAGTTAGGAGATAGGGTGAGTTTGCCTCGGTCTGGAGAAGCTATTGCTGTGAGTAAAGGGAGTTTACTACCTTTTCATTAATTGCTGAAGCTCCTTTTGGTTCTGGGAACTCCTAAATGCTACAGGTTGCTCCACCCTAGTCCACTTTTAGAAAAAGGAAACTGAACTCAGTGAAGTCAGGACACCCTTGGCCATCTGGTGTGCATGCGGAGACCCTTGAGTCTACAATCTGGTTCCTCTTTATGGGGACTTCTGTGGTGCCACTGCTGTAGGAGTCATGGTTAAGCAAGACTTGAGAACCTAGGGATATTTACTCCTTTCTGGTTTAAGTTCTCAAATCTGTTTGTTGGCCTTGTTTTGGGGAATCCCCTCTGTTGTCTGTGTTTTTGTTTTGTTTGTATCTGTTTCTGCCCATTTTAAGATGTGGTCAATACTGCATTGATCTAATAATAGGTAGTCTCTTGGGAAAGATTTTGGCTGGTCAGTTTAAAGGTTCCCATCTGCCAGCCATAGTTTGGATGCTCCTCTCTGGTTGTCTGTGTTTATTTTTTGTACAATCTTATGATTGAAGTTGGTCTGTCAAAGGTAAAGGAAGTTGCAGGGCCCCCTATAAGTATAAGCCTGTCTAAGATAATGTTTTACTGTTAATGATCTGGCCTTTGAATAGCTTTCTGGATTATTATGCACTCTTGCAGTTGGAGTTGGTCTGCCAAAGATAAAGTAAATGGAAGAAATCTGTAATGTGCAGGTCTGTCTGTTTTAAGGTTCCTATCTGTTAGCCCTGGTTTTGGTGATCCTCTCTTGTCTGTATTTTTTGTATCTGTGACTAGCCCTTTAAGATATAGGCCATGCTGTGTTGATCTTACTAGTAGTCTCTTGAGCAGAGAGATCTTGTCTGAATGGTCCACCTATAGGTATAAGCTGAAGAGAAAGATAGTTTACTGTAACACAATTTGGTCTTTTAATTTTTTTTCCAGATTATTATACAATCTCGAAGTTGAGGTTGGTCTATCAAGGTTTAGTATATGAAAGAGATTCTGTATGTACCAGACATTTATGCAGTTGTATAATAACGGGTTTTAACAGTCAGGAACTAAGTTGAAGGTGCCAAAAGGATAGCAAGGATAGCAGCACACCAGAAGAAAGTGTTAAAAAAAAAAAAAAGATTTAAATCTTCTAAACCCAGTGCTGGCACTCTCAGTCCTGTTTCTCAGCCTGGCTCCAGGCAGCCACAGAACAATCTCACTGTGGGTGAGACACTAGCCCTAAGCTGGGTTAAAAAAAAAAAAAAAAAAATCCCTGAAAAGCTGCCTGGACTGTAGAAAAATGCTTAAAGAGAACCTGGCCTCTGCCCTGACGTTCAGCCCCTTTTGTAGATAGTGGATGTGTGTGGGGGGGAGGCTACTGGCCATAAAGATGTGGCTGTAGGTTCCAGCACTGTCAGTTCATGACGTGGGAACAGGAATAGTCTCCCTTTTTAAGATCTGACATCTCATTTGGCCAGGGGATATTCATCACTGAGGCAAAGCAATTCTTACTATAATAGTATCCCATCAAACTAAATGCCTTGGAAGACTGGCAGAATCCCCTCCCCCAGCCCCAAAAAAGACAGAAACTAAGACTGACAGGTGTTTTGTAGGCAGCCTCTGTAAAGGGATCTTCAAGGAAGCTTAAAGAAAAGGATGGAGAGAAGATTACCACTCAATAGGGAAGAGAGGTGGGAGGGAAAAGGAGGGAGAAGGGGAGTTGCACGGAAGATGGAAGGAGACCCTCATCGTTATACAGAATACATGTATGATGTTGTGAGGAGAAAAAGAAAAAAAAAGTGTGTCAGATTAGATTGGATAGAGAAAAATGATGGGAGGGGAGGGAAGGGGAAGCGGGGATAGGAAGGGCAGCAGAATAGAATAGACATTATGATTGCTGTATGTACATAGGTGACTCTGACCAGTGTGATTCTGCAATCTGTACAATCAGAAAAATGAGAAATTATACCCCAATTGATTCAAATGTATGAATTGCCAAGATCATTGTAATGTCATGTGTAGCTAATAAAAAAATAATAACAGGGATGCATGCTATAGCATCAATGAATTTTGAAAACATTACGTTAAGTGAATAAAGACAAATAATAAAGGGGAAAAAAAAAAAAGAAAAGGATGGAAAGGGACTCCTCCATTGAAAATCAATATGCCAAGTACAAGAAAAAGGCCTCAAAGGAACTTCTGGGTACAATTGACAGTGGGGAATTCACTTAAAGTTGATGGCATTGTGATAATGATAAGGGAAATATGTCAGGCTTAAAAATATCCTGTGCTCCAACCCCTTGAATGCCACCTGGGAGAAAGAAAGATTAGAGCAGTTTTTGTATATGCTGGATTGTCCAGCCTTCTCCTTGTATGAAACATGTTGTGCAAATTTAAATGCACAGATAACATTCATAAGGATTGTTTCAGAATATGAATTTAAGAAAGGGTCCAAACTAGAAAAAATAAAGTTATAGGTATGGAAATATTTTAGTATGTAAAATTGGAAGGTAAAAGAAATGTTTCTGGATGAGAAAGCATTTTGTCTGGGAAAGTAATATTCTTGTGCTAAAGTCCGAGATGAAAGAGAGGTCAGAACTAAGGATGTAAACAAGCTGTGAATGTCTAAGTAAGTTGCAGAAGGTAAATCCCCAAAAAAATTCTGATTAAACTGACTATAATTAGCACAAAGTTATTTGAACTTTAATGTACTGAGTTTGTACCTCTTTAAAAACTCTCAAATGATTACTTTGTAACTGGTTAATCAAACAATTATTATTTTCTTTAATTTTCTTTTTTTTTATTAGAGAGAGAGAGAGAGAGAGAGAGAGAGAGAATCTTAATATTTATTTTTTAGTTTTTGGCAGACACTTTGTATGTGCTGCTGAGGATCGAACCCGGGCCGCACRCATACCAGGCAAGCGCACTACCACTTGAGCCACATCCCCAGCCCAAATAATTATTATTTTACGTTATATCAATGTAGTTGATACCCTAAATATATATAACTAGATATATGTATACGAGAACTATATTTTTCTGAGTCTTGTCTGAGTGTTTTGTAAGTTTATAAAATGAAAGTTTATCCAAATTCACTGGCACGTTAACCAATAAATGCTCTTTTATATATTGTATATCACATGGAAGGGTTACACTCTCATTTGAAGACCTGTCCTAGATCTGTTTGCTTTGACTAAGTCTATTTCTGATCATTAACACTATTTCCTAAATGCTTAAGAGATTTAAGGCTGTCCTTTGATTTTTGCTAGTACTGCTAACCCCTACAGACCTGTGATTATTGTTACCCGTACACTATGGATTTTAAATTGTACTTTAAAAGTTAAACTTAGTTAAATGTAAAGCTTAGGGAACAGCACTTTACCAATTTGGTATTTTCCAAAATAAAATTATCTGTAGCAATAGTCTCATATTTGTATAGAAATAACAAATTTGTTTGGTGTTTATTCATATAATTTGATGTTTTATAGCTGTATAAAAGCAACGTGTTGTCAATATATACAATTTTGTTGTTATATATACAATTTTGTGTTATTCTTCACACTGGAATAGGAATTTAAATGTGTTTTTGGAAGGAAGTAAGGAAAGCCTGATCTGTTTAGAGATGACATTGTAAAACATAGAAGCCTTTGCCACTTTTTCCAAAAAAGAAAGTTAAAAGCTCTCTTAGCCTTTGATTCATGTTTCAAATGTAATGTTGTATTGTGTTATTTGTCAAGAACCCCGTCTTATCTGAAATAAGGCTCTGCCTTCCACCTTATTCCATGTTAGAATGGCTCAAAAATAAGCTAGACTTGAGCTCATTTAGAGTTGTATTCAAAAGATTGAATTTTGTTGTAAAGATTCCTGTGATCTCAAATAGGTGATATAATAAGTAAAGGTTTTAGATTATAAAAATCATTTTACTTGGTTCATAGCTGTTACACAAACTAATATGTTTTTGCTCTATTAATTTCATTTTGTATTTTCCTTGTAAGCTTTATAATTTTTGCCTGTTAGGGTTTGGCAGAGATACTGCTTCTAATAAAACAGCCTGAGTTAATTTGAGATAATAAGCCATCAGCTGTAGGACAGATATGATATAATGATGACTTATAGTATTGACCCCGATTAAGTGAAAGGGGTAACTGTAAAATTATAAATATTTAAGTTGTAACCTATTACTCCCACTTTAAGACTGGTAAAACTACTGGATGTTTAGAACGAAAATCTTGGAGAACAAAGTCAAGGAAGTAAAAGGGTCAAGGAAAGAGCAGTCAACATTTTGGCCCTTGCCCTCTAAGGTCAGCCAGGACCCAGAGAATGATGGGACCCCTTTCTGGGCCCTGCAACTCTGGTGAGTAACCTGATGTACTGATCCAGGGAGATGGAGAGGACTCTAGAGCACCAGAAGCCAAACAGT